GAAATGATGAGACAATAATTTTCTTCAAGAATTCAAACCTGATAATTTGTGACTTCAAGAATTATGTGGTTAAATAGCCACTTCTATAATGCTACATCTTATGAGGCTCGTCTATGTGAGAAAGTTCATCATTTTTCATATTTGGCATAATATTCTCAAGTTGAATTACTCGTCTAGGTTCTTCAGAATGTTCAGTTTCCAATCTGGATGAGAAAATGGTTTCATTTTCCTTTGAATCATCATGTTTCCCTTCAAAATTGTTAAAAAGATCTTGAATCCATTGCTTTAGCATTCATACATGTTTCTGCAAAAGAATCCTGGTTCAATAAATTATTTTTATATCTTATGATGATGTTTAACTCAAGAGTATAAATTTTGTAGATATATTTATCCTAATATTACATTATTATTGATTTCCTAGTGTAATTATGAAAAGATGTATTAGTCTTTCACAGTTAAAAAGAGAAGATATGAATTTGTTAGAGGAGTCAACTTGTTTTGGTCACTAATTTGAGGTAATTTTTTCTTTATTTGATAGAAGGATTCTGAAGAGGAATTTTTGATGCAATGGTGGGAAATGCGTTGGAGACTTGTAGCCTGCTTTATTTGTCTTGTTGTTTAGTATTGTGTGGCTCAAATGTATAATCATAAGAAGAAAATAACTTATAATATGAGTTCCACAAGAGAAAGGGTATGTGAAGAAGTGATGTATCGGATAATTTATACTTCTAATGGCTGAGATATTGTTAGAATGAGTCATGAAGCCTTCTTAGGATTGTGTGACATGTTAGAAAGAGATGGTGGCCTGAAGCCTACAAGATACTCAAGTGTGGAAGAACAAGTTGCTAAAACCCTTTACATCTTATCACACAAAACAAAAAAATGTGTGGTTAAGTTTTGGTTTAGGCGTTCTGGTGAGATGGTTAACCGTCATTTCCATAGTATGTTAGGTGCTATCATTGAATTAGAAGATAAATGCCTTATACAACCAGATGGCTCTAGAGTCCCTCCTGCAATTTAGGTTAGTAACAAATTTTATCTATATTTTAAGAATTGTGTTGGGGCTATAGATGGAATACATATACATGCCAAAGTACCTATGGTAGATGCTCTTTGTTATCACGGTAGGAAGGAATTCCCTACACAACATGTGTTAGCAGCTTGCATATTTGATTTAAAGTTCACTTATGTGCTTGTTGGATGGGAAGGCACTACATCTGACTCAAGGATTATAAAAGATGCATTAAGATGAGAGATAGCCTTAAGATTCCAAGGTAACTATTTCACTAATTAGTAAAAAGTGACATAATTAAATAACCTTACAAATTTAAAACCAATAAAGTGACTATTTTATTTGATAATAGGGAAATATTACTTGGTCGATGCTGGATTCATGTTAACAAGTGGTCTTATAACACCTTATAGAGGATTTTGCTACCATTTGAAAGAATATTTGGATAGAAATCTATCCCAAAATCATAGAGAACTTTTCAATCTTCGACATGCATCATTGCATAATGCAATTGAACAGGCTTTTGGGGTATTGAAAAAAAGATTTGTAATTTTATCAAGTGCTGCAAAGCCTACTTATGGTGTCAAAGCTCAAAAGTTGATTATTGCTGCATATTGCCTTCTTCATAATTACTTGATGAATGTAGAACCTGATGAAGAGCTTATTTGTGAAGGGGATGATGAACTTACAACTCAAGATGGATCTAACAATGACAACCATACTCTAAGAGGTGACAGAACTGAGTGGCTTAGGGTGAGATAATAAGGGATGCAATAGCTCATCAAATGTGGATTGATTATGAAAATAATCTAAGGAATAATGCTAGGAACTAGACTTTACATGTTCATTTGTTGTATGTTTAGTAGTTTATTGTATTTCTTGAATATGAACAGTTGTTGTAATAATTGATGTACTTGTTTGATATGGAACTTTATTGTATTTGTTTGATATTATTATTGCTTATTTAATAAATCCTTTTCAGTATATTGTTTACTTAAATGATGTTTTTATTTGGTTTAACTTCTATTAGTATTGCCCCAACAACCACTGATAAGAACTTGGTTTGGACCTGTAAGATGGATGATGCCTTGATTGATGTATTCATGCATGAACTTGATATTGGGAGCAAAGTTAATGGGACATTTACACCTACTGCTTATGATAACATAACACAATATATGAGTACCCTGTTTGGATTTAAAGTTGATAAGGAGAAGGTAAAAATTGTTAGAAGACTAAAGAAGCATTTTTCTGAAATTTATGACATCTTTAAAGGGGTATGAGTGGCTTTTCATGGAACTCATCTACTAATAATAGGAAGCTGAGGACCAAGTCTGGGATCAATTGATTGAGGTGAGGATAGTAAATCCTTCATTTTGATATTCATATGACTTTACATGTTTACTTTCCAATGAATCTATCATTTGGATATTCATGGTGTCAAATGTATTTTTCAAGTCAAACCAAAAGCAGTCCTTTGGAGAAATACGCCTCTGCCTAATTATGAAAAGATGTTAGCTCTTTATGAAAATGATATAGCTAATGGAGATGATGGGGATACTCCTTCAAATATGAAGAAATGACGACATCTAAATCCTCATAAATTTGTTAATTCTATTAATGAAGTTGATCAACTACCTCTCAAAATGAAGTGATCTTGGAGAATTTCTAAATCAATATGGAAACTCTCCCACTTGATGACCACTCTCTAGAAGCAACTAGTGAGACTAGTAAGAGGACAAAAAAAGTGGTACATCTAAAGATAGAGATCCTTCCCAAATACCTCTAATTGCAGGAAAGATAGAATTCATTACAAATGCTCTGAGTGAAGGAAACAAAATATTTAAAGATAGATATGTCCCACAAATTTTAGGGGAAGAAACTTTGAAGATGATTGTTGATGCTGGATGTAAGGAAGACAATATCTCTAAAATTTATTGCTTCCTCATGAATGATGTGGCTAAGTTAAGGGCATTAATTCAATGTCCACCTTTGCTACGCAAGCAAGTGATTATGGAGACGGTTTTCGGTTCTTAGTGTGTTATTAATTGGAAGGAAAACACTCTTTTGTCATAGACACTTTGTAAACACTTATTTTGGCATGACCTCTCTTTTGAATTTTGTTTTGTTTGTCAATATGATGGCATTTGATGGCATTTCATGCCATGCCTAGTGATATTTTATAAGGCCATGTGATGGCATTTCATGACATTTTATGCCAAGCCTGTTGATATTTTATAAGGCCATATGATGAGATGCTGAAATTTTATGCCATGCCTTATGATATTATATCGGTACTTGTCAAATAAACATTCTGTTATTTACCTCTTTGACCTTCTGAATTGGAAATGTACCATATTAGTACAGAAATTACTCCTAGAATCATGCTGGATAATGGTTTTTGGTTTTATATGAGTCCAATTTGAGTTCTACAAGGTTTGAATTTTTGATTTGCTTGTTCTTCTTTTCGGTGGATTGGTTTTGCAATAACTATTATGTCCTTTTAATAATTACTCTACAATTTTTTATCTTATTATTATTTTTAAAGTAATGATGCCAGGAACATTTTATATCTTCAAAATTTGTCTTTTTTTTATATTTAATTGCATGGCAAACAGACCCAATAATATGTGACTTGCCTCAGTACTAGAGCTTTGAGCTTTTGATGAGCAACCCAGGATTTCATTAGAAAAGCAATGTAGTTTCTACTTTCATGCATCTGAGGATCATCAGTTCTTTCTCAAAAGGACCTAATTTAATGTCTAGGATTCTACTATTTTGTTTGCTTTTGATTGATGGTTTCCTCGTGCTATTATCCCTGATCATTTGCTTCCTTTCTGCGTCTTCTTTCCTCGAGCTCTATCTTGAGCACTGGTAATTCGCAAGTTGTGACAAGTTTGGCGGATCCTTCTGCTAATATTATATTTGGGGTTGTTGTTGATGATCACTACAATGGTGAGACTCCTGTGACTACAATGGCGAGACTTGTGCTGCAATAGTTTTTCCCCTTGTTCTAGCGACATTGATCATTTGATCTACCATCATATCCAAAGCTAATCACAATTGTCTGAATTCTTTCAAACATTAAAATAGATAGATCCTAATTACTTTATTCAGGGTTAGAATAATATTTATAATTATTCATAGCATTCAGTATAATTTTGGATATAAAAGCAATTATAGTTATTAATTATGCATTATGATTTATTTATTTAATTTTGTGAATTATAAAAAGTTGATCTTATATATTAAATGTTATTTATAATTATATTTTATTAATTACTCTATAAAGTTTGTAACAATCAACTTAAATAATATAAGAGTAAAGTTGTCCATACAAAATATTTTTGCCTCCCCTCCCTTCCTAAACCACAAAGTAAAATTAAAATTCCTCCCCTTTCCTCCCATCGAATTAATCCAAACAAGATTAAAATCCCTCCCCTCTCCTTCATCTCTCTTTTTCCTCTATTAAAATCTCTCCCCTCTCCTCTCCTCTATGAACCAAACACTGTGTATTAGATCTGAACATTCTAGTCCCTGTAGAAAAATAATCTTTTGATTAAAAAAAATAAAGAAAGTAAATGAATTCTCACATGGGGGAATATTGTAGATAAAGTTCACTTTTGGATTTAAAAAAAATAAAGAAAGTAAAATAATTTACGTGATGAACTCTTTGACATTTGACATTGTAGCATTTTAGTTTTTTTTTTTAACTACTTATAGCATATGGGTAAAAAAGTCTTGGATAATTGTAAATTAATCCAAGCACCAAATTCATAAAGTTTTTCTCTTCATGAAAATTTTTTCTACACGTAAATTTTTTAATATTCTATCTAATAAAAGATTAATTAATATATCAGCCAACTAAAGTATTTTTCGTTTTTTTGGGGCCAAAGTACTCGGAGGAAAATCAAAAGAAAGGAGAGGCATATTCAAACGACATCGTTCTTCTTCTTCTTTTCGTCTCTGGCTCTCTGCCCCGCCTCCTCTTTACATTTTCCATATGCAGAGCTGAGAGTTGAGACGGAATCATGGGAACTTCGGTGCAGGTGACGCCACTCTGTGGAGTGTACAATGAGAATCCTCTGTCATACTTGGTCTCCATTGATGGCTTCAAATTCCTCGTCGACTGTGGCTGGAATGACCACTTCGACCCCTCCCTCCTCCAACCCCTTTCTAGGTCTCTCTTAGCCTTGCCTTTTTCGAATGTAGTAGCTTTTCTCATTTCTGTTTCTTTCATATCGTTGCTTCTTTTTTCTCATCGCAATTTTTAGCGCCCTGCCTGGCAGAACTAGAAAGTGAAGATTCAAACTTCAATTTAGCGCCTTGCTGGAATTATTTGTTTTGACCTTGTTCAAAAATAGAGAAGACGGATTTTGCTTTAGTCCCTTTTTCTGGTTTCAAGTGTAAAGAAAAGGCATATAAGTTCCTCATCAAATTGATCTTGAACCGTACTTGTGTTTGTTTCTCTTCATTTCTTAAAATGTGGTGTGGCTTGTAGGGTGGCACCAACCATAGATGCGGTCCTGCTTTCACATGCGGATACACTTCACCTGGGTGCTCTCCCGTATGCCATGAAGCAGCTTGGACTCTCTGCTCCCATTTATTCCACAGAACCAGTGTACAGATTAGGCCTTCTCACCATGTACGATCAGTATTTTTCAAGAAAGGTGAAGATTTCATACTTGGTTTACTCTTTCTTCACTGTGCTTTACCCTAAATAAATAGACGTTTATCTTCTTTTTGGGTTCTTTGGGCTAAATAAATAAATAGATGGTTCTACTATTTTTGAATCAAGTATACGGTCTTGGAATATTTAAAACTTACTTGTCTTTTCCAGATTGGGTATAATGTAATTGTTTTATTCTCTTAAATTTTTTCATGGTTTTATTAAATTATTATAATATTTTAATATCCAACATAGGCAGTTTCTTCCTGATTTCTCAGAGGATTGCCTGTTTGATTGCCAAATATTTATGTTTACTTTGGGCCAAATACTTAAGGTGAGAAAAATCTCCTCTTGCAGCAAGTATCAGAGTTCGATCTGTTCACACTAGATGATATTGATTCTGCTTTCCAAAGCATAACCAGGCTAACATACTCTCAAAATCATCATCTCTCAGGTGGAAATTTTGAACAATTGTACATTTTTCGATCAATAAATTTTGTCATGGAATGAGGCTTTCTAGCTGACTTGGTTGTATTCTCTAGATTATAGCATGTTATTTTGTTTAATTCTACTCTCTGTCCTTCCTATTATTATCTTGTTCTTTGAGCTGTAAGTTTATGTTGGTATGACTTCTGCAAAGATTCATGATAAGATTCCATGAGCATAACAGCCTCTGCATACCTGTGTTAGAGAATTCAGTGTTTAAGGTCCTTGCACTTTCTCTTATAGTAAAAGTAAAATAGCTTCTGTTTTTTCCCCCCTTTGGACCCTGATTTTATCAATTCAAATGAAGCTATTTTTCAAGGATCCCCAATTCTTTCTGCCGATATGTCCCTTTGCAAAATGACTATATGAACTTTAAAACTTCAATGTTAAATGAAATCCTCTAAGCTCCTTTTATTTAGATTGTCCAGCAGTTTGCTACATTCAAAGCTTTACATTTTTTGTTTGGTGTGCTTGTTTTGTTTGGGGAGGGGGTGTCAGGTTTCCCTTTTTGAGTGAGCATCCATTTTTCTTGATTATTTTAAAGGTTTCGGTTGGAATTAAAGATTGTAAAACCTTGTCTTTTTTTTTTTTAAATTTTATATTATTATTGTCTTTAGCTAAAGTAAAATGCTTGAACCTTTTTGTTTGGTGGGAATTGGAGGGGAAGGGAGGGGTGGGAAATTTTTAATGAATTCAACTTAAAAATTGAAAAACTAGAGTGAGAAGTTTTTAATTAATTGTCTTACTCTTTTATCTTACATTTTCTTTTTATTAAAATTTGATAAATCCACTTCTCTAATTTTTTAAATCGAACTCATTAAAATTTCTCTCCCATCCCCTTTTCTTTGTGTCCCTCAGACCAAAAATAGAATCATGAAACAATCATGGTTCTCTTTAGTGTTTTAGCGCATGATTTCTTTTAGAGAATTCCTTTAGAAGGACTTGCAAAAGGATTGGAAAGCTTTCTTGTATAAATTTTATGGCATTGCTTTTGTTTTGCCATTGAATGGGGGCTTTTGGTTAACAACCTATCTAAAGATTTGGTTGTTGATAGAATACAATGGCGTCGTGTGGTCCATGTAGCTGGCCCCACCTACTAGGATGAGGTTGTTTGTTGCTGCTGCTTTTGTTTGGTGATATTTAAAGATGATGTTTATCTGCTTACTCTTTAATAATTCTTTCCATACAAATAAATTTCTTGTTCTAAAGAAGATGAATCATCCCATATCTATCTGCTAGTTTTGCAGTGTTACCCTCCTACAGATGTACCACACGTGTTAAATTTGAAACCATTGAACTTGAACTTAGATTTCAAAAGCTTTAGCAATTGGTAAAAATACCAACCAAATTTGATGGATTTCTCATTTGGGATATGGGAGGTAAAGCCATGACAACAACCACAATTATCATT